TAATAATAATAATTTTTTAAGAAAATTTTATCAGTAATTTAAACAAAAACTCTTATTGTTAAACATTACTCAATAAGCAGTGGTTTTTTACAAAAACAAAAGATGTTTATCTGGTATTTTTTACAGTCAAAAAAATCATGAAACGCAGAAGAAAAAATTTTTTTTAAAATATACAATAAAATTTTTTCACTTACAGTTCATAAAGCCAACTTATTCTGTCAATCATCGATCTCCAAATTCTTGCAGACTGCATATAGATTTGCTGAAGAGTTTCACCCATCAAGTAAGTGAAGTCTCCTCCCAATTTAATCCAAAACATCAACAAATATCCCCCAAAAAGATGCTGAAAAATTGAAAACTTTAGCTTTTCAGTGGATATTTATTGCACTCTAAGATTTGACTATCAAAGTAATGTATCAATTGTAATTTACATTTTTATTCAAATTAGCATTTCATAGATTCTCCGATCAACTGTTTCGAATTCTTTCCTCTTCTATTTTCAATGTTATCGTCGTTTTTTTATTCGCATAAAGCCCAAAAAAAGCTTTTTTTTGTTGGCATTTCAAAGTCACTATAAACGTCTTTGGTGTGTTGTTTTTTTTTTTTTTTTAGTAATCTAAATAAAGAGAGGATTGAAATCAAACGTTTTGTTGTTATCGTCTTCAAGATAAATGTGTTTATATCTATCAACTATGTGCTTCACAACTTGCTGATATCGAGAACGTAATTTCAAGAATTCATTTAGCTAATGGGTGCCTAAAAATAAGAAAAAGTTTTTTTCTTTATGCATAACAAATTGAATGAATTTTCAGAAATTAGTTTCTTGAAGGCAGAAGAAGAAGGAGAAGATAAAGAAAATAAAAAGAGAAAAAAGGGGAAGAAAGAGAAGTTGGCTCAAATAACCAGCCAGTTTTCAATTTGAAAATTTAATAATCCTCGTCATGATACCTGATTCATGCCGTAAATGTTCAAATGTTCGATATACCAGAATCAGTACAACTGATCCGTGGGATGCCGGTGAACGACGCAGAAATCGAAAAACAGTAAGTAGGCCAGCTTCGCAACATCAAAATATCAAAAATAAGAAACTGTCTAGTAGATCATAAGCAAACCTTTTTGCAAACTCAAATACAAGTCAATATTTTGAAGACTTCTGTCAACATTAATGAAAAAAGCATTTTTTTTTTATGACATCTGTATACAAACATAGATAAAAAAAAGTTTGTGCTATTTTTTCTTCTGGCAAACCAAATGAAAAATCAGCTGATCATCGACTTTTTCCTGTTCTCTGCAGCTATCCGCACCGACTCTCTCACTGTCTCTTCTTGACCGTTTTTCAATGTTTAAATTAAATTAACAGTGAGTCGTCGTTGACATTGAGTGCTATTTGCAAAGACTTGTTGAAATTTCTAACCCATATAGAGCTGTCATTATAAGGCCACATTTTCGTAAAATCTAATTTTGACTATCCCAATGGTGAACGACAGCGAGAAGCTTGAAAAATTTAAAACAGTTCCAACTCATCAAATCTTTTTTTTCCTTCTTAATTTTTAGTTAATAAACAGAAGAAAATCATATATCT